GCCCTAGGGTTTGCTAAGGCATGGGGAGCATGCTAATACAGTAGGAGGGGTGCCAAATTGGGTTTAGCAGCTAGGAGGCGCCCTCCTGCTTTCAGTTTTTTACAAAAACACCCCCTCTCTCAATTGGAATTCACACCAGCTTCCAAAAATCTACATTTCGGCCATGAAAACTTCCCAGTTTTCCCCAGAATTTGCACAGAAACCCTCAAAGGTCACAACAATGAATTTAACTGGGAAAAGGGCATACTTTGACTATTCTAAAGCCGAAAATACCTCTGAAATGATTCCCTTAAGGCATCAAAATACAGAGTTATCACTGCCCTTCTAGGCCTGATCCCAACTTCCAACTTGTAGGTTTTTGAGTTGAAAAAAATTACTTTACCTTTGTCCAAAAAAAAAAATAAATAAAAGATTGAGAATTCTACATGCTTGGATATGTTTTGTGTGCTATTTTGATTTTATTTTTAAATTTTCATTTTTGATATGTTTTACATGTTGTGTTTATGTATTTTAATTTGAGATAATATGTTTTTTAAAACATGTATTTTAAAATTTAAGTTTATATTTTTAATTAATATTATGTTTACTATTTTTTTTTGCATTTTTTGAATTTTGGGCATTTTTTGGATGCCCCTTGTGCTTTTTATTTTTTTGCCTTGTGCTTTTAAAACATTGGAGTAAATGTAACTAACATAAACAAAAATCATACAACTGTCATATAATGTGGGTGAAGGTGTATACAAACAAACTATTCATCTATGACTTGCATAAATATTCATTTGATTAGCAAACCAATTTATATGTGTTAGTCCTAGTTGAAAAAGGAAATCAGAAATATTGCTCAAAAGCTTGAGACTCTGGCATTTATTAGGTAAGGATCTTTATTTTTGAGTGGACAGTCTGCCACTTGCCAGATATGGATCCTAAATCTGTTTGGAAGGGTCCCTATAGCACCAGAAAATAGAAACAGGTTTCTTGTAGTTTGTACCATTTCAAGATTGCAAGTAAACAATGCTTTGTAAGATGATCAAACTGTGAAGAAAAGAAATTATATCAATTTTCTGGTATAGCTGCCATTATCTCTGCTGAATGTAAGTATTTTCTTCTTAATTGTTTTCCAGGGCAAAACTGCATCGGGCAAATGTCAGTTTTCTCTCTGCACCTGTCAAGGATGGGACAACGGGTACAGTTATAGTTCTTACAACTCCAGATGCTCAGCGAACTATGCTTGCATATCAGGTCAGGTCCTTTTTGATAATATGAATGATTGACAATTTGCACTAATATTAAATTCTGGACACCTTTATTCATGGAAATTTTTAAATTTTCAATTACTGGTAAACTTGTAATTAAATGCTATTCTCTATATTTTCAACAATTAGCTGCATCCAAATTGTTCTCTCTTACCCATGATATAACAAATATATGAATATATTAACAAAAAAGAAAAGAAATACAGGCATACTCATATAAATTGTATTAATTTTTTCCTCTTTTTTTGATTTATTAACAGTAAAATTTTATTGAAGAAGTAAAGAAAGGACTCAGATGGTGCAATTGTCAAGTACCTGAAAGAGTCAACCCATTATAAGCTACTCCTCCTAACACCACTTCTGCAACACCACCAAACATAGATTTAGCTCACTTGGAATCCATTTGAATGAAATGTTCAGCGTTCAGCCAAAGATCTAGACTGTAGACTCTATTTGCTGTTGCAATATTTATCTGATGTTGCAGGTAGTTTTGCATGGACTCTCCTAAATGGATGAAGCATCTATGTTAGACATTTATTGGATTCCAACATTCAATAGATTTTGAGGCAAACTTCTATGTAACATGTTCCTTTTGACTCATTCCCTTTTTTTTTGAAAAAATGAACAACTAATATACATGATGAATATCATTGTTCCTGTAGAAACTTACTTTGAATAAAGACTTTTTTTCTATAAACATGTTAGAATTCAAAATATATAAACTATTTTAATATTACTAATTAGGCACCATATGTGTAATGCACATGCAAGATATGACTCTTTATGATTATGAAAGATGATGTTCAAATGTTACAATTCTACAATTAATATTTGAGATGGTAGAATGTTACAGTCCTAAATGTTAAAGTGCTTGGTTTGATGCGTTCCATCAGTCTTAAGGCTTTTGGCATATTGATCAAGCACACAATGTTTGGTATCAGAGCCAATCACTACGTCTCAAGTTTGAATAACAGAGAGGGCTACCTAGAACAAAGTTAAAGCTACCATGGAAAGGAATAGTTAGAGCAAAGTGAAAGCCGCTAGAGGGAACTATTGCTATTGTGAGAGCTGCCAAATTGTTGATTGTGGAAGCATGGTGATATGTTAAAGTGCTTGGCTTGTCGCGCTCCATCAGTCTTAAGGCTTTTGGTATATTGGTCAAGCATGCAACATTGATGTTGGACCCCTAAGTAAGGATGGGCTGTTGCTGCCAAGTATTGAACCCATGAAGACCCTAACCCAATGTGGACACTGGCATCAGGGATACTAGTTTGTTTACTTGGGAGGCCATGTCAGCTAGTGGCACAGAATGCCTGATACCCTATCATAACTACCTGATATTCTAATTGTAAGAAGCTATATATATGGTCTCCAAAGAATAAAGGGTAGAGATTAATCCCCCCAAATTTTCCCTTATTCTCTTTTTTTTGTAAGCAGGCAGAGCTCCCCTTGAAGAAAGTTCCTATGTTAGGTAGGTTCCTGACATCTGGTATCAGAGAAAGAAGTGAAGATTCACTAATGCCTCTTACTAGATCGGCCACAATGGATGATAGGTTGGAGCAATTGGAGCTGAACTGTCACAAGGTGGCTTTGGACTTGAGAAAAGTGAAGTAGACTTGGTCAGCGATGGTGATGCAGTTCGAAAAGATGAGCCAAGGTTGTAGCCGCGATGGTAATCAACAAGGCTCAAACCAAGGGAGCAACTGGAAGGATGGAAGTCCTTTTTGCAAGTTTGGGGTCTTGGGAGGAGTGGACTGGATAAGGACCTAACTTTTGGCATTTTTTTCCCAAATTGGCTTTTCTTAGACTTGAACCCACATTCTCATGCTTGTCAACTGAAGATTTTACCATTGCACTAATAAATGATCTCTTCAAATGATGCCTTTTTTATGTAAATAACTTTGTATGTGTCCATTTGGCTGCATCTGTCTGCTTGTTTTTTCAGGAAAATTTTCAAGATAGTGGGGGTGAATCTGGAGGAGAGAGAGATTAGGGAGAGTGCAGAAGTACCGGGGTGTGAAGGCTCAGGGTGGCCTTTGAATTACCTAGGGCCCTGAGCCTTTTGAATTACCTAGGGTTGCCCCTAGGTGATAATCCTAAGAGAGCTTTTGGAACCTGGTGGTGGAAAGATTTGAAAAAAAGACATGTCTCTTGGAAAAAGAGGTAGGATTACACTGATCAAGGCCACGTTAGCAAACTTACCCATTTATTTTCTTTTAGTGTTTAAGATTGCAGGGAAGGTTTGTAGTAGGCTGGAGCGGTTGATGAGAGATTTCCTTTGGGAGCCGGGAGAGGAGAAGAGGGACCATAGGGTTAGTTGGAAAGTGGTGACCAAAAGTAAAAATTATGGTGGTTTGGGGCTTGGGAACATTGGGATAAGGAATTCAGCCCTTTTGGGGAAATGGTTGTGGAGGTTCCCTTTGGAGTAGGAGAAGCTATGGGCTAGAATAGTGGCAAGCGTACATGGGCTGGAGCAAGATGGGTGGGATGTTGGAATCAGAGCAAGGACCACAAGCACTTCACCTTGGAAAGCCATTCATGATTTGCTTCCAATCTTCTCCCCTAATGTCAGGTATGATTTGAATTCAAGTAATTCCATAAAATTCTAGGAACAAATCTGGGTGGGGAATGATCCTCTTAAGGATCAATTTCCTTCTTTCTATGCTCTTTCTGAATTTAAAAATGAGCAAATTTCTTCTTTTATCACCCCTTCCTCTTCCAATTTGGGGTTTGGGTGGAACCTGGGTTTGAGGAGGGTTGTGAGGGACTCAGACCTTGATAGTATTTCGAGCCACTTTGAACTTCTTGATAATGTTTTCTTGGACCCCTCTAAGGTGGCCTCTAGAATTTGGACCCCTACCCCCATGGGCTCTTTTTCTTGTGCTTTCCTTCTTCAAAGTCCTTTGCCAGTCCACCAGTCYTGCAATCTCCCCTTTCCCGGTTAATGAGGTTTAGTGCAGACCGATTCCTCCTAGGGTTGGTAGTTTTTGTTGGGAAGCCTATTTGGAAAGATTCAACATTGGAGATTTGCTCCAAAAGAAAAGACCCAATACTTGTTTGTCACCTCATTGGTGTGTTCTTTGCAAAGCGGATGGGGAGATTGGTTTTCACTTAATGGTGTTTTGCCAATTTGCAAAGTCAATTTGGGAGTGGGTTTTTTCTCTCTTTGGGTGTAGGTGGAACCCTCCATTAGACTTGCAGAGCCTATTTTCCCCTTCCTTTTTCAGGTGGCACATGAAAAGGGGAAGGATTATGTGGAGAGGTCTGAGGGCTGTAGTATGCTGGACATTATGGGAAGAAAGAAATTTTAGGATCTTCTCAGAAAATGAGAGAAGGGCTGAAGAATTGAGGGTTGTGATCCATATAAGGGCTGTACAGTGGCTGAAATCACTAGAGCTATTTACAGACTACACAGTGGAAGATATGTTGAGAAAGTGGGGTGAGATTGCAAACTGCACTCAGATCAAACCAATAATAAGGGTGTCTTGGACTCTCCCACCTGTTGGCTTCTTAAAATTAAATTTTTGATGGGAGTTGTAGGGGGAATCCCGGACAATTAGGGATTGGAGGTGTTTTTAGGGATGAGAACGGGATCATCTCTGCCCTGTTCTCAGGCCCAATTGGTGTGGGGGATTCCCTTAGAGCTGAGATCTTGGCAGTTATGGAAGGAGTTCAGAAAGCCAAGGGGATGAATGTCAGGAAACTCGTAATTGAAGGGGACTCGGAGGTGGTGATATGGTGGCTGATTAAAGACAACTGCGGTTTATGAAACTACAGAAATGAGAAGAGGAAATTCAGGTGGCTGGTGCGGGGGATAGAAATCAGGATGAATTGGGTTAAGAGATCAGCTAATTCTTTAGCCGATGGATTATCTAAACAAGGGATAGAAAGGGAAGCAATGTTTTGGGCTAAGCTGTAACTTAATTGTTTCTTTTTTTCTCTTTTTCTTTCTTTGGAGGGTTTAAGTTGTAATCGGAAGATGAGAGTTTTTGTCTTCTTTGCTGCAAATAGTTTGATATTTCAATGAATTTAATGAATCTGTTACTGATAAAAAAAAAAATTCAAGACAGTAATATATTTGTGTTTTTGTTTCTTTTTAGGGCACATCTTCAATTGTTAGCTATGACTCATGTTTAGCTAGTGTAGTCTCCAAAACAAAGATACTCATTGTGGAAGGTTACTTGTTCGAACTTCCTCATACAATCAGAACAATAGCAAAAGCATGTGAGGATGCCCATAGGCATGGTGCCCTTGTTGCTGTGACAGCATCTGATGTGTCCTGCATTGAGAGACATTATGACGATTTCTGGTAAGCCACTGATCTGGTTTGTTTTTTGTTTATAGCTAGGCCTTCTAGTTTCAATTTTAGGGTTTTTGAACTTCCTCACATGTTCTATTATAGGATTTGATGATTGAAATTATTTTAAGGACCCTTTTTTTTTTTTTTAATTCTATCATTTAAGGACCCATTCAACTTATTCAGGACTTTGTTATTTCTTTTATGTGGATTTCATGAAGCATGTGTGTTCATCTAACTTTTTTCCTAGTTTCAGTTGGTCGGGTGTTACCTTGACACCTATTAAAGTCGTACCTTTCTTTTTATTTAATAAATTTTTTCTTCTTTATTCTTCAAAAAAAAATTCTTACTTTCGAAATGCTTCCTGGTGTATGCCAAACCAAGTGTCAACTTGTTACTTAGCATGGGTATTAAGCTCCAACTGTCTACTGTTTTCCAGCACAGCAACCACTAGAAAAATCACAACACTGAGATATGGCTTTGTAAAGATATTAAATATAAAAAATCATTCTAAGAATATAATAAAATGAAATTTTGGAAAATAAGATAACAAGTGAGCCTTGCTGGGAGGCAGAGAGGATGAAGGGAACAAGTGAGATGGTGATGATGGAGTTCCTTTCTAGTGCTGCATTGTACATTCCTTGTTTTAGAGGAAATTCTAAAATCTACTCTAGACAGTATGTTGATTGCTTTTATGTTAGGGTGTATATTTATTGATTCAGATGTTATGTTCAGAATGTGTAATTTTTAAGTGCTAAATACCCTTAGACGTCCTTTCTCATTTAACATTGTATAAAGTCTGATGCAAGGTTCAAAATTTCAATGTGATACATATCTTATCAGTGGGTGTCCGAAACACAAAATATAGGCCTTTTGGCTTAAGATCTTCCTCCTAACCTCTTTTTTTTTTTTTTTTGAATAAAGAAACTAAAAAAATAAGGCTTGTGTTAGGTACAAGGTACCAATGTACCCCTTTAGTGTATTGGGGTGTATCAATAATTTGTACCTTGGTCTGATGCACTAATATGCTTTGCTGCAATTAGATTGGAGTGTCATGAGATTGTTTAAAGTAACATTTTCCAGGTGCTTTACTGGTACGGAAGAATTCTTAGTTTAATGGTGTTCAGGACCTCTCCGGTAATTACTGGTGGAGTTGCTCTAATAAATTTCGGCAGTAAATACCCATAATAATCACCTTTGACTAGTAGAGATAGGAGTTGACTCATTCTTTTCGTGTATTTCAAATTGAAGAACAGTTATTTTAAACCTTGAATGACATTTTGTTTTGATAGATGAATCTCGAATGACATTTTAAATCATAAGATATATTGAATTGAAACATGAAATTTCAGAATGCAAAAGTAGTAGAACAGGTAAGAACTTGAAAGGAGCCAAAGAGATCTTGATCATCTTATGGATACCCTTTTACCCTTCTCAAAATCTTTACAAATTCAAACACAATATGGAAATAATGGATTCACTATCAAAATTTACTTGGGCATATAGATCAGGCAATGGCATGGCCAACAGTTTGGCTAGACAAGGAGCAAACCAAGATTAATTTTATTAGGAATGATAAGATAAACCAAGGGGAAAGCTTGTAATTGTTGTAAATGGAGTAATACAAGTATGGTAGCATTAGCTACCTTAGTAGGGGTGCTTGATTATGTGCACTTTTCATTCTTTTATTAACCAGTATAACAACCAGTTATACTGTTTAAAAAATGGAGTCACGATCAGCTTAATGCTGCAGTATATTCAAACTACTTAATTTTGCTGGTTATTAAACAAAAAGAGCCATTATCCAATATTTGTCCTGGCTATCCAGGGTTTTGGGTTGGGAGTGGTGGACTGGATATGAACCTAACCTTCAGAATTTTCTTGCATGGAGTGGTTGCTCTAAGACTTGAACCTCCATTCTCAGGCTTCAGCCAATGCTTTTACCATTGCACCAAGCAGTGGCCCCTTATAATCTTGGAAGGGGTTCTTTTAACATGTAAAGTGAAGCCTTCCTGTTTTATTTGGAAAATGGTTTCTCCAGTTCTCATGTCAGACAAAATCCACTGTGCGGTTGGAAGCCTAAAATCAGAAACTGACACTCTGGGATCCCTGGAAATCTTATTGCTTTTTCTTGTGTACTATCACAAATATTTGATATCCATATGATTTACGCCATTTCTCATCAAGTACGTGTAAAAGCAGTTGAGTCATTGCCTTGATACATAATTAGATTAGAAATCATTGACACAAGTATTTGATGCAACTCAGGATCCCATATTAATAATCCCTTTTTACCTGAATCCTGAATATCATCATCAAATCAAATTCTTTTTTCTCAGGGAGATTATAGGGAACTATGGAGACATTGTGTTTGCAAACAGTGATGAAGCAAGAGCCCTCTGTGATTTTTCCTCAAAGGAAAGCCCTGTATCTGCAACAAGGTATCTGAGCCATTTTGTTCCACTCGTCTCCGTCACTGATGGTCCTAAAGGATCTTACATTGGAGTAAAAGGCCAATCTGTGTACATACCTCCATCACCTTGTGTGCCAGTTGACACTTGTGGGGCTGGAGATGCTTATGCATCTGGTATTTTATATGGTATTCTATGTGGTGCATCAGATTTGAAAGGTATGGGCACATTAGCTGCTAGGGTTGCAGCTGTTGTAGTGGGGCAGCAGGGCACACGGCTAAGGGTTCAAGATGCAGCTAAGTTGTCAGAATCATTTGCTTTCCATATTGAGAGTTCTACCGTTCACTTAGATGTGGGATCAGATCATATTTCTAGCTTCTAATCTTTTTTCCTCCATTTATATTGATCCTAATTTGGTCCTTTGCAAGGATATTCCTTGTTTATGGCTTTTAACTTTGTATATTCCCTATACTTCCTCATTGCATTCGTTTGTTTTGCTCTATTTTATTTTAGAATTTATCTTCTTAACAATACTTAGAATTTTCTGTGCACACCCGCATGTCTGCTTCTATTTTTCATATGGAACACATGCAATTGTCAAAAATCACCAATTGATGGTTTCTCTGCAGAGAAGATATTTCAATTTTAGGTTGATTTTTACTAGTTTGAATGTTCTCTCGTCATAGTGGCCAAACCCAATGCAGTCTAAACCAGATTGTTGGAAAAGTAGCTAATGCTATCTGGTTGGTTCAAAATGTACAGTTAATCTATACTCTATGATCAGTTATATCTTAAACCTGAAGATGGTAAAAATCAATTTAAATGGTTTAATGCTATCTAGATTGACGGACTTGTGCTCTGTGGGTTGGAAGACCAAATGAGCATACTTCCGGGGAAGTGACAAAAGTGTTTTTGTGGTTGAGGTTGAGCTAACCCTTGTTTGTTGACCTGGGCTTAGCTTGACTTCTAAGACATCAAATGCCTCGCAGAATTTATAGAAAATCAGTGGGAGTATGGTACAACCGAATCACTTGAAAATGATATTAGGGTGCTTGCCAGTCTGACTTGCAGATTTTATTTAAAAAAAACAAAATCATTAATACTAGGAAACGCCTCCTTAGAAAGGTATGTAGCAAATGATGTCACTGATGAAGCTTGCGTTGCCGTTGCCAATGTTGATGCATCATACAAGGAACTTCTCTTTAGCAGTTTTTGCAAATAATGGAAGGGCCCATTTGCAATTGCAAGTAGGGGTGTCAATTGGACTGGATTTGGTCAAATCTGATCCAGTCCAATGTAAGTCCATTACAAATGAATGGATCAGGTCCAATCCAATCCATTGAATATTTTGGGCCGTTTTAGACCAGTCCAATTCAATTGCTGGACCATCCAATTCTAACCCAAACCTAGTCCACTGACACCTACACTCTTTATCTTCTATCCATGGACCATTAAGTTTGGACTGGTCCATTTCAATGTCTGCTTGTTGGTCCATCCAATCTGTTCAAATTGGTTTTGGTTTTTGTTTGGATGGTCCAATCCGTTCAAATTGGTTTTGATTTTTTAAGCACTCCGGTGATGCCCATTTGTAAGGGCTGAAGCCTGAAGCGCAGAGAGCCCGAGTTGATTGTCGGCCATCATCTTAGGGATAGATTTTTTTTTTTTGGAAGTGGAACGTTTCAAAGCAGTTGAACCAGGTTAGCTGAATGTTCATATCAGCCCTCCCAATTCCCAGGTCTTTAACCAAACATAGCTTATAGACTGTGTGGGACCCGCTCTGAAATGCAGAAGTTTCTATGGTTCAGCCCTTTCCAAACAGCTACGAAATGTCAATCTCCATGACTGGTAAGGCGCATGAGCTTTCAAGGTTGATTACAAAACGAACTGGGGGCCCTTGATAGGAAAGACTTATAAGGTAGAGAGCTCATAATTCAGAAATAACATTTGAATTGTAAGTTAATCCAATCTAATATGAATTCAATCGTTTAATCAAAAGCTTGCTGAATTTTCAAAAGGATGGATAGTGAATTGTGTTACCACTTACCAGACCCGGATCGAGTGTAAGATCAGAAAGCTCACTCAATCACTGCTTCAGTGGTTTGAATTGATTACACTGTTTGCAGAGCAAAATATATAACTGAAAGAAAATCTTGACAAAGAATTATAAAATAGCATAGGGAGGAATGAAGCTATGTGTAAATTGACCCATTAGATCATTTAGCCTGTAAAAACTGTCAAATAACCGGTATCCAGAAACCTCACGAGGTCATTGATGAATAATCTGGTGGTCCACTCTGTCTGATAATACTGTTTGTTTCAAGATAAGAGTAACAAAATCTATTAACAATAACAGAAATGCTTCTTGTCTTTTTTCTCCTAATGAGTAGTTGAATATTCTCGATATTGTGAAAGTTGAGCTGCAAGCCTGCAACTACGTTAAGAAATCCTAAATCTTCCCACTCACTACTCATTGGAAATGAGAGAACAAGGGCTCTGGTCTTACCCGTGCTAGTGCCATCTCTGTAGTTTTTCTTGTAGCACTATAATCGAGGTAGGTAGGTTTCGATGATTTCACTTTTGAAAGGAGAATATCTAAATACCCATGAAAAATTAAAACAACCTAATAAGGTATGTGGGTTTACATTGTTGCCACACAAAAATAATGAAATAAACCTTTTGAATTAGAGAGACTTTTGATTTGATCCAGTCACCAAGAGTCAGAGGGGTTATGTTTCTCGAATTCAAATCAGCCCCCACAAGATGATATCATCATTTTTTGTATTATCATTGGGAGATGCTCCCAATACATGGCGGGGATGTGCTGTGGGATGTTATGGGGGGCAATCTTGTGGGGGGGCTGATTTGATCTCACGATTTTCTTGGAACTTTGGGTGGGTTTTGGCATCAGTTTTTTCTCTAAAGAACAATAATGAAAAAACAAGGGAAAATTCCGCTTTAGTACCCTAAACTTTAAGAGTAGTGCCAAGTTAATATCCTAACTTTCAAGCGTGTCATTGCAGTACCCAAACTTTTAAAAAGTGTCAAGTTGGTCCCTGCCCATCAAAGGATGTTAAGGACAAGTGTAATGACACAAATATCCCTTGCAGTATGAAGGGGAGAGAGAGAGAGAGAGAGAGAGAGAGAGAGAATTTTTTCAAAATGATGAATCTTCCCTTACGTGTAAACCCTTATTTTCTCAAACTGAACACTGTTCAATGAAATATAGTCGACTATTTGAAGTTGGCAATATTCGTTGCCACTTGTTCGTTTGTCAAATCGTCGCTAGAAAGGATTTTGTTGGTGTTCCTAGTCGCCGCTGGAAAGGACTTGCAGTGTTCGTTGTTCACTTGTTCTCTTGTTCGCTTGTGAAATTAGCCCATCACACACTTTTTCAGTAGAGGAGAAAAGTTTTTATACTACTGTCATCACCAGAGAAGACTAACAAATATTGCCATCGCTTGAGAAGACGAACTTAACTTGTCGTCACCGGAGAAGAAAGGTAAACATAGGAGACGACATTTTCCCTTTTTCTATCAATTTTTGAGATTGAATCGGTGAGTTTGATAGATCTAGTCCAATTAGTTCATAGAGGTTTGACTACTGATAAATTGGATGCTGCTTCTTTTGCAACGTCATACCTGCCTCCATCGTTTCCGGTCTTGTGATACGAGTGCCAGAGTTAACCCACGAATCCAGGACCCGGCCTGCTAGTGTGATCCGAAGCGTGTCGTTAACCACTTCGGAACACCAGTTTAAACATTTATAAAATTTTCTGACTCTCAAACAAATAATAATGCAGTAAATGGGTGAGAACGGGTCGTATCCATAGGGAAGCGAAGGAAAAATCAATACATACTCAAATCCGGATAAGAGAACACAAGAGGGAAGTGCAGAAATATAAAAATTAATTAATTAAATTGAGAAAAATATAGAATTCGAACAGTACTGAAAGTTAAAAGTGCAGAAACATAAATAAATATAAAAATAAATTAACAAAAGAAACGAAATAAAAATCTGTAATCCGATCAGAAGTAGTAGTCTCCGGATCTCTCCTTTGACCTCCGAACTTTTCAAGCTAGGCCTTCCGTCTTACCCGGCCGAATTGCAGATCTGCAAAAAATAAAACAAAGATTAAACGAAATGAAAATAAATTGTAGAAAATAAATAACAAAACTAGAATTGAAAGAGCAAAAATTAAAACTAAAATAAAGTAAAAGTGGTTGGGATCCGATTCTAGAGGTGGCAGTAGTAGGTTTGGCGAATTGCAAACAGGAACCCCTCCTCTTGCTTGGGCATTCTCCTCTTCCTCTACCCTTGAACTTCTCAATATCAGCCTTCCGTCTTACTTGGGGGCAGAATCAAACCCTTTCTCAAGAGCCTTTGGGTCATTTTTATAGAGAAGGGTGGATACAAATGGGGATTAGAGAGAAGGAAGGGGGCGAAAACTAGGTTTTAGCAAAGTTATGGGCACCCTAGGGTTTCTAATGGAGGGTTAGGCTGGTTTTGGGGTGATCCTAAGGTTGAGAATAGAAGGAGAGGGCGCCCAATATTATGTAGGGCTGAAGTTTGGGCGCCCAAAAATGGATGGAGGAGATTTAGGTGCCTAGGGTTGAAGGGGGGAGATTAAAAGAGATGGGTGGTGCCCTAGAGTGGAAGAATAAGATATAAGATGGGATGGATGGCTGAGATCTAGTGGCTAGGAGCTGAATGGTGAGGATTAGCAGTTAGGTAGTGCCCTAGGGTTTAAAAACTGTAAAAGGAGTGCCCTATAATGAGTGGTTGAGATTAAAAGAGGTGGAGGGAGGAGATTAAACACTTAGGGGTGGTTAGGGTTTGCTAAGAGTGAAAAGAATGGGTTAAAAGAAGCCCTAGGGTTTGCTAAGGCGTGGGGAGCATGCTAATACAGTGGGAGGGCCAAATTGGGTTTAGTAGATAGGAGGCACCCTCATGTTCTCAGTTTTTCAGAAAAACACCCCCTCTCTCAGCTAGACGTCACACCAGCTTCCCAAAAGCTACATTTTAGCCATGAAAACTTCTCAGTTTTGCACAAAATTTGCACAGGGACCCTCAGAGGTCACAACATTGAAATTAATTGGAAAAATGACACAATTTGACTACTCTAAGGCCAAAAATACCCCTGAATTGATGCCCTTAAGGCATCAAAATGCAGGGTTATCACACCCCCCAACTTAACCATTGCTAGTCCCTTAGCAATGCAACCTTAAAATTACACTGAGTATATAGATCTTTCCCATCTCAAGGTCATCCCTAACAGAATTAATCAAGCATCATGATTCCAGTATTCTCAAATTCTGTATAGATTGGTATTGGGCTTTAGGGGTAAAATTGTCTTATTTTGAATATTACAAATACATGACCTTAAAATCTTATTTACCCTTCCATTTGCTGACTGTCTTGATAAAATGACATTGATTTTAAAATCAGATAAGTATTCTTCTTATTATTTTTGACAACGGATTTCTACCCCTAAACTTATTATTTTTGTT